GCTTCGGATCTTCAGTTTTTTAAATATATTTTCTGTCATCCTGTCCTCCTACTGAGGTGGCCTTGAAGAATCCTGAAAGCACCAGTTTCCTCTGCCTGAGCAGAGGAAACATTGGTGATTTTTTTCCACTTCAACCTAAAAGTCAGCAAACGCCTAACACCCTTCACCCTCCAGCCCCCCCCCCCCCCTCTCTCCACTCCATTATTTTTTTTTTTCTTTATGGAGAATATGCTTTTGCAGTATCACTTTCAGATCGTTATTTTTTCTCCAACTTTCCCATTTTATCAGTCTTTCCCTAGATGTTGGATTCAGTTTCTCCTAGACCTGGCATCACTGGTCCTGTATGTTCGGAGAAGTATGGTGGGAAACGAGCTTTTTCTTCTTACTGATTTATTCTATTTAAAAACGTCACCATGCACTCAAGTGTTTCCAGACGATGCAGAACAAAATTAAAGGGCCAAAAATCAAATAGTCCTACATGTTTTCTACAATTTTAACAACTACCGACAGATAGGTTACTTGTGGTAGATCCATTGTCATGATTAACTCAACAGCCCGCTGCCCTCCATGTGCCCAACCTCGTCATGACCGTTCAAAGTGCTCTGCTCAGTCACGCACGTGTGCAATTTGCAGTGGCTCCCATAATGTATTTTACAGGAGCTACCCTGCCTACACGCTCGAGGCTTAGCAATTCTCCAATTCAAACTAGGTCTCATTCTACGTGCGGCCAGTTAGGAAACGCCGACAAAGTTTTCGTCTCTACCTATTCCAAAACTGTCCTTTGCTCTGTTCCCATCCCGTCTTCTTAGGATGTCTTAGCAACTCCCCCAATATCTCTTCTTGCTTCCCTGAACTATCCTACCACTACTCCCCCTCTCCTCCAGTAATTTTGTTTTTCTAGTCTAACTCCAATCTCAACCACTACCTCGCTGCCTATCCTCCCCCTCCTCACTTTACCTATCGCACCAGGTAATCTAAACATTCCACCCCATCCTCTCCTACACTCACCTCTTCCTCTGTTCCTCGGACATCTGTCTCCGCTGCTCCTCCTCGCAAGAAAACTGTTTCTCAGACCTCCCCACCCAACTCCCCTCCAGAAACTCTTGAAGACATCCAAAGCTTCTAAACATGACCCAAGAGAACGCTCCACTTCCTCATCCACCCTCTGATCTCTCCGTCCCTATTATATCTACATTGAAAGGGTTTGCCGATATTCATCCTCCTCCTCAAGTTCCCCTTAGCCTCCTTTCTCCCAATATACCCCATCCTTTCCTTCCCCATGTGCACCATTCCCTCTTCTTTCCCCATTATCCTTCCCATTCTCACCTGGGTGCTCGCGTGACTCCCTTATGTTGCAACAGTGTCTCCTACGGACCCTTCCTCTCCTAACATTCTTCCTGATACTTCACCACCTTCCCCTGTTCCCTTCCCGATGCTCTTATCTCATAGCCCGGATTCTTCTATTTCTCCAACACCTATGACTACCCGTATTATCCGTTGATTTTTTCATAATGGCTCCTTGCCAGTTTTCAGTATACAATGTTTCTCTTCCTTAGACAGATACTTTCCATTTCATCCAATCGCCCTACGCCCTTAACCCTTTCCTTTCGTACTTCATTTGCTTCCCTCTTTTTACCCTTTTCGATACTATCCTCTAACGCTCTATAACTTTTGGCATCTAACACATGTTATCCTAATCATTATCTCATTCTTACCCTTTTCGCCACAATACTGTACCATAGTGCTCCATGACCTGGTTGTCAAAATTAATTAGTTTCAACCTCGGTATTACCAAACTTGATGCCTTCAAACGAGACACCAAATGCATTTTCCATTTCAGTCTCTTGGAAGGTCTATTTTTTGTATGTCTATCAAAATAGGGCTTAATGGAGCAGACCAAATTATAGCAGACAGCAGATAGCACATACCGTAGCCATTCAAGATAGAGTTTGAAAAATGAAAAACATCTACTAGTGTCCACGAGAAATTAATCTTTAGTATGACTTGACACATCGAGACGGCTGGTTAAGCACGTAAGCATGACAAGGCACATAGACTCACTGACAGCATAACATGTGAATGGAGGAAAACTTGGAGTATTAGGCTATATACATCTGCCTCTTTGCCGATCTAAATAATAAATTTGTGTTTATTTACCTGCCTATCAAACTATTTGCCTACCAGTCAAACACTTGTATATGTGCACAACTGTGCGCTGTAAGTACACATGTATTTGCATTTAAATGTACAGACAGACAGATAAGCAGGAGTTAGATAAATAGATAATATTTCGTGCCGTGTCATGCTTACGTGCTTAATACACCGCCACTAAATGCTTGGTCATACTTACGGAGACATTTAAATATTCTGTGCATTTATGATTATATTTCACCAACTAAAGTATCAGTTTTACTTGTATACTGAGAGATTTTCATTGCCATCCCTTCTGATGTTGGTATATGCGTTTATGCAAAATGCAATCTGTAATTTTCGGCAAATA